CAAGAAACACAGCCCAGCTATGCATCACAACCTACAGGGCTTTGAGGTACTTGGCCTGCGGCCCCTATTTTGTCAACTCACGTGTGTGCAGAAATGAATATTGAGCAAGAATAAATATCCCAGGCTCCCAACAGGAAAATAAAAGAAGTGTCTGCAAAGTTGATTACAGCAATTGATGTTTTCTTTGTTGAGGACATTGCATTTTTGCTATTCCACCAGAAAATTTGAACCAGCACTAGTTAAACATGAGGAGTGGGTTTCATTCGTCCATATGGAAATGCCTGCAGTGTAGTCCTTCATACTGTGTTAATACTGCGTGTTTCTTTATAGCCCGTTGAGAGAGAGGCACATGGTGTGTGATTTATCTTATTGCAGACCTCCAAAACACTTCAGATGGACTAGAACTGGAAGTGCTTCACTGTCTCCAGTGGCTGAAGGCAGCATAAGTGATTATAAAACAGACGTCTAACTGGAAAATTCACTCTAGCTCCTTAGAGAAATAAGATGTGAGAATGTCTGCAGTCTGTTGATTTGGGTAATGCACTTTTGTTTAGGCCAAGCACTGACTAGACATGAGCATCTTAGGGTGATTCTAACAACCAGGTATTTGCAGCTGTGACACTGTTACCACAGGCTATAGATCAGAAATTCCTCCAGATCAGTTGAAATGTGCTTGCCATCAGTATCAGGTAAGGATATGTCTCTTTCCCTTCCTTTTTGATTGTAGGGAGGGAGCTGGGGAGAAAGCCACATCTTTTGCAATTCAAAACGGCCAGAGTTCCCATCTGACTTTCTTACAGTACGCTGGGAACTTATGGAACAGAGGATCTTGTTTCACACACATCTGTCTTTTTCGAACCCACATCACCACAATAGCAAACACTCAGTTTTAGTGACCTCCTGTGCCAATACTTCTGTCTCATTGGGAAAGGAAAGGATTTTCCTCACTTGGCAGGTGAACGTCTAGATTGTGTCTCATATTCCATCTTCTCAGAGCCAAGGCTTGCAGAACATGCGTTACGAGGGCAGCAGTCTTAAGGCCTCAGGAGAATCAGCCAGTGTTATTAAACCTGTGCTTTTTCCTTTTACAACAGTATTTTTCTACCTGTGGTCTCTGTGCCCCTGGGAGCCTGTAGAATACTTTCAAGAGGTCCATGAAAAACAACCAACAGAAGCAAGCCTATTGTCAGTTGGTTTAAATTCTCTATACAAAGATCCATACCTCTTCTGTAAAAATTTTAGGGGGCTTGTTAATTGAAAACTGTTGAAAACTGCAGCTCTATAATGTCTCGTGGAGTAATTTTTCTAAGTGCTCAGATGCATGAAAGGTCAGAGGGTGATTTATTCTAGCTCGGTGGTTAGCACAGTCACTCTGGGAACAGCAGTTGCTCCAATAAGCATTTAATTATTTTGTACAAACGAGAGACTGAAAAAGACCTACCTCAGAATATCCGATAGCATATTAAAGAAGGAAAATCTCCAGGAAGATGAGAGACTCAAATTGGGCAGGAAAAAATGTGAAGGTTAGTACATCTCCGAGGAATGTTCCTGCCTCCTCAATACTGGATATAATAGAAACACATTTTCACACATCTCTCTTCTTGATGTTCAGTGCCACGTGGGATCTGGTAAATGTTTCTCCTTGTGCGTGTGCTCAGTGTTGGAGAAGCTGCATGCATGAATGTCTTTGAGTGTGGTAACTTCAAGGAGGGTGCTGAGGCTCTGGGTTTGTGAGTGGGGCACCGGAAGATGTTTCATGGTGATGCTTGTCATGATGTGTCTCAGATCTTTGATATGAGCAACAAGGGCAAGACAGGGAGAAGAGCAGAACTCTGGGTTGGATGTGCAGAGTACAGATGGTGTGGAAAGAAATAGGTTAGACTTGTGCATCCAATGGGGCTTTACATAGAAGGAGGGTTACTGCTGCCCCACAATGTTCTTCCTGCTGGGCTTCCATGTAGCCTCCCAAGGACAAGGAGACAGGGATGGGCTTACAGTTCCAGTAGAAATGGTTCTTGGTTAAAAAAAGAAAAGGATCAGCTTGGATGTTGAATAGTTTCTTATTCCTAGAAAGAGCTATAATGGAAGTCAACACAATCTACCACTTCCCAAGGGCTTTGTTATACCATTCAGACATGCTGAGGAACTATAATTGAATTTTTACTATAAACAAGTGTTGAGAAACATGTTTCTTATTTAGGTCGATTCATGTGTCCGTGTCCTTTTTTGCTTCTTTGTTAGTCAATAGAATTTCTGTTGCTGCAAGTGAGAACAGGAAGATAGCATTTCAAGTGGGGAAGGACAAACTCTGAAAGTTCACAGGCCTCAAAACTATCAACCTATTTTGGGGATTTGAAAAACAAAATGTTTACCTTCACAAACTTGCTTTGCCTGTAATTTGAACTCATTCTAAATTTCAAAAACAAACAGATTTTCTAAGGAGCACGTGTACGTATCAAAGAAGACTGACGAAAGCAAAGCAGCTACAGGCCAGTCCTCAGTAAAGGATTTGGGTATGACCTTCCGTCAGACATTCCAGTGTTTCCTCTGTTTTATTTGTATTTGCTGTATTTATTGTTCGTATTTATTTATGTGTTTTTGTTTGTATTTTTTATATTTGTTGCAGCCTCTCTTTGTTTCTCTTTTCATTCATTTAAAGTTTTCATCTATTGTGTCTCTGCCAACTCCTCTTGCCTGTGGGTTGCATTTTCTAGCAGGAGGTTCTACTTTGTTTAGAAAACATGAATCCAATAATGAGGGAAGGAACTTTCAAGCTTCACTTATTGGCATCGTCAAAGAACTTGGACAGTTTCAAACCTCAAGGGAAATACAGCCCAGAAAGCAAATGTTTAGATATGCTAAGGCTTGGATGAAGCTTATTCTGCTTAAGACTTAGCTTTCTTGTCAATGGCATTTTGATACTTACACCTGAGTTACTTTCACAGGCTGGGTACTGTTTATGTAAGTGAATCAGGTTCTTATTTGTATTCCTGCAACAACCAAATAACTGGTCACAACAGGGAGATTTTCTTTATCGAGAAGAGGTACTGAAAAGATTAGCTTTCATTGTAACTTGGTATGTTCTGACAGTCATGTATTTGATTTCTTAGCATTACGGTTTTCTGCTAACACAGAAGGGCTGGAATGGGAGTTTGGAAACACAGTGAGAACATTGGTTTGCATTGTCTTTAATACTGTATAGCACAAAACCAACTTGGCAGCAATAATTTAAAAGTACTTTGAATTAAAATCTTTTTACTTATTGAAGAACAAGAATATGATTCTGTGATTCCATGAATATTTCCAAATCTTGCTTTCATCTTTATAAACTCCACTCAGCATATTTGTGTTTGTTGTGGCTTTTAAAGAGTTGTGTTCTACTTTTTTCATCTATTCAGAAAGTTTTGGCACATAGCTGTAGCAAAAAATGAATGCTGAAGAAAGGCTGAAGAAAGCTGAAGGCCATGGAAATCTGTGGATATATTCTCACCCCATTTGCAATGGGTTTGAGTCAAAGCTTCATGAAATCATTCTGAGCTTTCCCTTTGACTCCAGTTGTCTTTGGCTCATGCCCAGTGAATGGGGAGCCAGTTGATTTGTATTTCTGACCCCAACTTATTTTTATTTATTATGAGTGGACACCAGCTGTTTCTTTGTTGTCTAAAATATACTGTCTGCCCTTGAACTTCAACATTTTCCTTCCAAAAGGATGATTTAGACTTTGTCAACAGTTTGCCAAACCAGCAGGCTACCTTATAATTTTGGACTTCCGACAGACCGTGAGTGGCTGATCTCCCACCCAACTTTGGACAGATACATAAAGTGAAATATGAAAAACATACACAAGGCCTTACGAGATGGAAGTATTGATAGACAGGGCCACAGTTGGCGTGTATCACCTTTGCTGTTACTTTCAATTAACAGTGTTCTTGAGGAGAACCTGGATTGGGTCTCTCAGCCTTACTTCATTTAAGTTGATAGTCCTCAGCATCCAACAGTGGGATAAACCAGATTCCTTAGCTTTGTTTGTTTTGGCCTACCGTGTCTCTTTATGAGGAAAATGGTCAAAGTAAAGTGCTTCCTCTGTGTATTTTGACAGGAAACAGTACTAATATGCTTTCCTTTTGTCGTATGCCTTGCTCTTTTCTCCCAGTGTTGTTTAAATATTTTCAGTCCAATGACATATTTATTAACCCACCACTCTCTGCATGGGGTAAGACTTTGATTGGCCCATCTGTAAAGACTCTCGGTTAAGGTGGTTTTTTCAGCGAGAGTTAATAATATTACTACTATTCACGTAAAACTCTGAGACAATCTCTTTAAAAATGGAGCACATTTATCTAAAACAGCTGGTTAAGAGAGCATGAGGGCCCAGCTAGAGTCGGCAAGGTCGGGGGTCAGGGTTAACACCAATCTCTGTGGAACTTTGAAGCTGACATTTTACAGATTATATGTGTCTCAGTGCACAGTGGGCATGGCATATAAATTGGTCTTAGAGGCCCCTATTTGTTCTCTGCATTTTTATGAGCCCACAGAGTTGTTCTTTGAAGCAGCACACACAGAAAATAAAAACTCATTTTAATGTTGTGGAACTATTTGCAGTAAATCATGTTAACATCCTGGTTTTTCTTTGGAGAGAAGGAGTGTGCATTTTCCATGTTCTTGGGTGCTGCGATTGCTTCAGATTTAATCCTGCGTTATTCTTTTTAACCTCACTTCATCCTTCTCATCTTTCCTCTTCCCTACTTTGGTATTTACATGGTTACTCTGTATGACTGAACAAATTTAAGCTAACGAGGACACCCTCGTTTTGCTTCATGCAGTGACGTAGCTATTGTTAAGTCCTTATTCTTTTGCTTATCAAAAATCCTCTGGCGCTGTAAACCTCTTGCTATTATATGGTACTGTAGCCTTACAAGAAAGCATCTGATTTCAAAGAGACTAAGTTCCATTCTGGAACTAATTATATCATTTACTTTATGGATTTTTTTAATTGCTAGGTGTTTAAGCTGGAAAATGCTGAATTCTGGAGAGCCACAAGGAACAGACACTGCTAACAGAATCTGCTGGAGGTATTTTAGCCACCTAATTAATTTTCAATAAATGCTTCCAATAGGTAATTTGCTTCTGGCCAAATGTAAATCAGCCGGAGACAAATAGGGTTAAAATTAGAAATGTGTGATGGGGGCAATGTTTATGGACAAAATAACCTGGCACTCCTAGAAATAACTTGTTGACAGTAATAGAAAATTAGACCACACAGATGTTAACAAAAACTAAGCTTTGCATGTTGCATGGCCCCAGTAAAGGTCCTCCAGCTGGACGCATAACTGGTTCCTGTGTGAGTGTCACTACAACAGGCCTCCCTATCCTTCATTTTCCGTTGGTACAGATTGTATCTAACATGGCCTCTGTCCTTCTCTGTCTGACATGCTTCTGAGATGCCTTTGCTCTGTGCTTGTTTGTGAATACAGACCTTACCGTCCACTTGAGACCTCCAGAGGACCTCAGAGACACTCCAACTAGCAGGAATACCCTCTGCAGAGCTCCAAGCTTTTATGTCACAGAATCATAGAATGGCTTGGGTTGGAAGAGATCTCAGAGACCATCTGTTACCAAGCCCCTGCCATGGGCAAGGTTGCCAGCCACTATACCAGGCAGTAGATCAGGTTGCCCGGGGCCACATCCACCCTGGCCTGAACACCTCAAGGGATGGGATGCCCTCTAGCCTTAGAAGTCATCTCTTTAAAGGCATATAGTAGATGAAACACCGTTTCCTGATGAGTAATGTTTTCAAATTTTATTCATTAGTAACAGTGTTAAGCTACTTCAACTTTTGAGAAGAATTCTGAAAAAACAAACATCTTGCATATTTGCTTTTTTTAAGTTTCCTCACCCCTCTCACACTTTCTTCACTCACAGCCTTCTAATTCTGGGATAAATTCCCTTGTCTTCTCCTCCAGAAAACAAGGTCAGTGTCTGTCTCTCCCTAAAAGGGCTGGTAAGAGATTCTTTTTATAACTTCCACCCCCTGTGCCAAGTGGCCCTTGGGTGGGTATGTCAAGTGATTAGGGTCTCCCGTGGAGCAAGTTCTTTTATAGGACCTTTCCTGCCCTTAAATTTAAACTATCCACTGACACTTTCATTTGAAAAGAGGGTTCTTAAGATTTGATGCCTCGTTATTTTGGATCTTGTGTCACTTGGCTTTCTAATTTAGAATTAATTAGACGGCTTGATTCAGAGAACATTACAGGTTAGGTGTTACTTGGTACTGAGTGTGCTTGTGAGCTGTGGATACTGGAACAGCCTTCAGAACAGCCTTCAGATAAACAGAGAGATCTCTCAAAGCTGACTTTCATGGGCAGACTAGTGGCAGCTCTAATAAGACTGGTGGATTTGCATGACATTGCTGACCTGAAACACAGGTTGCAGATAGCGATGGACTTGACAAATATAGGAGCTATTAAAGAAACATAAGGACAAGCCACCTTTGGAGGCACGCAGTTACCCTTCCAGAAGAAAGCACGTTTGAATCTTTAGCATGATCTGAAAGTGAAAGTCAATGGCAGAAGCTTGCAAGTTGTATAAACTTCTCTAAGCATAAAGACGACAAAACAAACGATGAGAATTCTCCAGGTATTTTCCTAACCTCTGTTACTGAGAAGATCATTGCAGCATCTTCCTGAATGTTCTCAGTATCCTCCTGAGTTTCAGAGGATTTGGGTCTGGCCATGCTCTGTAGATAGGATCTCTGTCAAGTTCAGCAAAAGGGCTTGGAAGCAAATTTGCTTGTTGGTGTAGCAAGAGTTTTCGAAACTTTAAAATCATGAGGGGGTCTGGAAAATTTTGTTCATCTTTCTGCAGTCTCACAAAGTTTATTTCTGTCACTTTATTTTTCCGTGATGGCCAGTGTATGGAAAATGGCAACATATCAGACTCCGTTCCTGTCTCTAGCAGCCCCAAACAAGGTTGTGTGCTGGCTCCCACGCTGTTTTCCTTCTTTTTCTTGGCCGTGCTGGCGGAGGCCTTTTGCTGACATTGAAAGAGGAGTATTTATTTAGTTCTGTACCAATGGAAAGTTTCTCCATCTGCAGTGCCGCTCATCAGAGATCTTCTTTTTTTCAAATGACTTTATGCTGGTAACCTGTTCAGTTGAAGCCATTTGTTTAAGCAGTGACCATTTTTCTGAGTGGTCAAAGCGGTCTCCTGACTGGACAACAGAACACACACTACTGCTTTTCTCTGGTCCAGGAGATCTTTGCTGATTAGTAAGAAAGATGACATGGAAGGCTCTACATGCTCATGAGATCAACCGTTGCATGGCTTCACATTTTGGCTGTGGTCACAACTCTGTAGTAGAGCAGGCTTGTGAAAATAAGTAACGACAATGCTTGTCAAAAAGTCCAGCTCATAATGCTCCAACCTGGTTATAAGACATGGGTAAAATATTGTTGCTCCGCCAGAATATCTGAGCTGTATAGACTATGTGATCGGGCTTGTCCTATTTGTGAAGTTAAATGATGGGAGGAAATACCTAGTACCCAAATCTTGGTATATTGACTTTTTTCCTCACTGAGAGCCGAAAATGCCTGGACCCCTTACTATATGGCTTGAAAATCCTTAAGGAAATATTTTATGATTAAAAAACAAAAAACATACACAAAGAAAACAGCTACTGCGAATTTGATGGAATAATGCAGATCTGTCTGGAAAGTGTGCTGCATTAACCCCCACAACAGAGAAATATGGTGGCAGCGCTGCTGTAAGCGTCTGTGAAATAAGTTCAGAGTTGTACAAGGAAAGAGCCCTGTTCCTTGATATCTGGATTAATTCCACACATCCCACATCCAGCTACACTTACAACTTTTTCATAGCCCTGGTTTCCAACATAACTGGCCAAGCAGAATGTTTTCTGGGTTCATTTTTGCTTAGATCAACAGGAGCCTTCAATGTTTTTGATTCAGTAACAAGGAAGGTAGATAAGTGCCTCACTCAAAATGAACTGTACCTCTTGATGGAGAATTTCATTATCAAACAGATATTTTAGATGGGTTCCCCACAGTGATGTTCTGAAGTAGTTTAAAAATGGATAAAGGAAGCAACTGGATTGAAATGCTGTGTAGAGATGAGGACAGATCATCACCTGGCATGAATTTCCATAGCTCTGATGAAGCCAGTGGAGCCAGACCATTTTATACTAGATAGTGATTCAGCCCGTAAAATTATCCTTCTATTTCCACTGTTAATTATGATCCATGCTTTTGAAATTCATAGTCAGATGAATAATTCTATACTTAACATTGTGACTAGTCATGCATTTGAGGGTTACAGGAAGAGGGAGAAATAACTATAAAGACCAATATAGTATCATATATATATAAAGACCTCAGAATCTGATTCCATCTGGTATTTAATCACAGAGGAGATGAATTGGTTAACCTTGAGTTACACACAATAATCAAGACTCAGACAATCAATGTTGTCTTACAGGAGATCTAATTTTATAAGCCATTTACTACAATAGCGAATTACGTATGTTTGCTAACATACGCAATCACAACGTGAGAGCTCAATGAATGAAGTTACTGTGAGCTCTTTTCACTGCTAAAATGTTGACTACTGATGGTGATTACATCAGAGAACTGAATCAGTGTGGGATAACAGAATCTCAGCTTTTGGAGAATGGCAGATTTTTATTCCCAAAATTATTAAGGTAAATGACAGCAAGTATTTTGTAATCTCAGCGCTAACCAGTACCACAGGTTAGTTAATAAGTTACTTAGCAATTGCTGGGGATATTTTATTTTTGAATTTATGGACATTTGATACAGTGCCGAATCCATATATTGCCTTTAAATATAAAAAGCATAACAAAACTCTACATTTTCTGCATTAAGCTAGACATATTTAATTAGCAGTAAAGCGTGAGGCTGGGAGCCAGGAGGTCTGGGTTGTAACTGCTGTGGGGATCCTTTGGAAGCACTCGCCTTGCCTGTCACCTGGGAATCAAAGTCTCTCCAGGGAGGTTTTGCCACAATGGAACTTAATTTACGGGTGTTTTTAAAGCATTTTAAGGGGCTGAAGTGGGAGGCACAGGACAAATGCGAATTGTGTGGAACTACTGCACGTTCTAATAACTGTTAATGATGGGCACGTTATAGAAAGTTTATAGAACAGCCACGTATTTCTGTACACACCAAACTTATAGCCTATTGCTTCCAAAATCAACAGAAGTCCCACACTAAACCCAATGAAAGCAAGAGCAATCCTTGTTCTAGGCCTGTGTGAAAAAATGCCGCAAGGACATCTTTGTAAATTAAATGGAATTTTAATTTTAATCTGAAGACAGGCTCTTCTTGAGTGTTGTGCACGGATTTACTTTACTGTGCTATTGCCACTTTCTGTATCTGCTGCCAGTCGCAGTTCATTTGAGCTCTCATGTTGTGATTAAAAGCACTGAGTGAATGAAGGAAGATGGGAAATGCCAGCGTACATAAATCACACAGGCTGCCAGTTGTTCTCCATTTGCTTCGTCCTCTCCCCACACCCATGATCAATGCTGTTTCCTGTTTGCTTCACTCAAATGGAGGTGCAGCCTGATCCTGCCTAACTATGCACGATTTATAAAGCCTCTCTGTTCCAAATTTACCTTTTTTTTTTTTTTTTTTTTTTCCTGGGGAAAGCCTGAGTGAGCTCAACTGAAATGCTCAGGTGACTCAAATCCAATTGGCCTCCATCAGAATTTCAAGGAGCAGGGAAAAAAGATTGAGTTTTCAGCCTTCAGGTACATAAGGAAAGCCATTAGCTTACGTGTATCTATTCCCACATGTCCATCCCAGCAATGGCTCCTCCTTGAAGTGAAAAGAGTCTTTCACTTCATTGCCCATAGAGGAAAATGGAAGGAAAAGGTGGTGCTACATTTCAGCCTTGAGTGGTAAGATAAGAAATGTGTTCTGGTCTGCTGGTATCAACTTCTCTCTTTGGAAGAAGATAACAGACATGATAAGTGAAACAACAACAACAAAATGGTAAATCACTCAAGCAAAACTAGATCTCTTTTGTTTTGTCCCAAAGCGTTTCATTATAATCATAAACTATAAGGTGTTAAAGGGGTTAACAGGCTCTCAACTCATTGTCAACTAATTATCTTTAAGGTGTTGTCATCACATACTAATCGCTGGGTTCGTGCCAGTTCCACCGCTGGGAGGTGCCCAACCCCAGGGTGACCTTCTCTCACCTAACAGATGCTTACTTCATTAACTTCAACCATCACTTGCCCCCAAAAAAAAGCTTTTAGGAACTTTCATCTTTTTAAAAGGGCAGGGAAAAGAACCCTAATAAACTGGTAGCCTGGTTAGCAGTAGGTGATAGCTTTAGCTTAAGGCACCATGGGTGGCTAAGATGTATGAGAAACAGATGTAAGGCCTTTGGTGATAGGTCTGCACTTTCTATTTATTGACAAATGAAATAGGCAATAGAAGGCAAT